CTACAGTTCAGACTTCTGTCACGGTTCTGTATCTAGTCTCACAAAGTGCAATGTAAGACTGATAAATCACCAAAGAGTCCAAATCCAACAAATCGTTTTGGAAAATTGATTTTAATCAACAAGCGCCAAACATGGACTGCTTTGCCAGATTTCAGAGTCGCCACCTAAATATTTTGTTTTTGGGAAATTTAGGAAACCCTGACTTGTGCCTAAGGCCGTGTGTCCGTCATCACCAAAGTTGCCTCGGCTCAGGAACTTGGGTACGAGGGGGAAGGTCATGAAATGAACACCCTCGCTCGCCCGATCAAAGGATCGGCCTCTACTAATCATGATATGTTGCTTTGAAAACACATGTGTTCTTATTCTGGTTATTAATCTAGCTTACTATGTGATGCGCACAGCATACAAGTATAGACTCAATCACGAGAATTGGAACAAAACAATTCAATGTTTGTTTTCGAAAATGGTTTGAAAGTGCTACTCGGAAGTAGGCTAAAGCGCAAATGTGTCACCCTCAAGTGGGCTTAAAACATGATGATTTGCCACTCCAAGTGGGCTTAAAACTCGAATTTTGATGAATTATTCCAATTCAAGTAATAAAGCCTTCATACATAAGCATTCATGTAGTTTAGCATTTAAGCAAATAGCCTCATCGCAAGCATGTTATACATGGCAGCATTCACACTCATGCAAGATGCTAAAGCGTAAATACTTACAGTGTACTCCAAGCCAAAGCAGAAAACTAGTTAGAAAACAATGCATGATCCTAGCTATGTTAAAATGCCTAATGTAACACATAAAATAATGTAACTAAATAGGCTCGCCTATCTAAGATGGCATATGAATGCAACACTTGATAACATGCTTTGAAACACGTATTCAAGTAAGTGTATTGAAATACAATGCAGTTTGTATGATGTGCTGAGCCCGGTGCATGCAAGACAAATGTATGATGCACGCATGCAAGCATAAGGTATGCTAAATAAAACGTGCTCTAATCTAACCACTGAAAGCGGGTAAATAAAAGGGAGAAAGACGTGGGGTTGGAAGACATTCACACACACATGCACACTTATTACAACATTTGCCCTCTCGATGGAGGGTCCGAATAAATAATACAAACCAACTAATCGGCCACGATTGGTGGTAATCGGCCAGTGCCAATGGCCGGTTGGCTACTTTTGTGGCCAGTCGGCTGCTCTGATAGCCGGTTGGCCACTGATTCCCTGAATTTTTCTTTTTGCTGCAACAGAGCATAAACAGATGCATGACAGTGTATTTGCAAGGAAATGTGTGTGCAACTACCCTCCTTATCATATCTCAAGCTCAAAGGAGCGTAGTACTCAACTCTCAAGCCACCAACCACGCATCTCAATGCATGATGGCCAAAGAGTCAAGCTTGCACAATGTTAGTGAATGCACAAACGAGACTCGAAGAGTCGTCACCATATCATGCATGATCAAGGGTGACAACGACTAAGAAATGTAACACGTTTCATCACTTTGAGTATGAAACGTGCCACATTCCATGTGTTTGAATTAACGTCCGATCCAAACACAATGCAATGCAAACAACATGCTTATCTTGCATGTTTTACTTGATTTGGTTCTTGTTTACACATTTTAAATTACCGATTAGCCCTTTAATCGATTAAGTCCAAAGTGATAGTCCTCTAATTGGAAAGAAGACTTGAACCACAAGTGTTTTGAGCATGAAAGAGACTTCATGCTGTTGGTAATGAACTCCCGAAGGAATTAAACCATTAGGCACAAATGCCTCAATTTCACTCTCAAACCAACAAAGGGTCCAAAGTCACTTTCAAAGCAAAGTAGCAATTGAAGAATGGAGTGATATGGCATACATTTCAGCACTAAAAATAGGATGCTAAATGACATTAAACCATGCAAACAACGCATGCACAACATGTTAAGGGCCAAAGGCATTGAAACTAGTGACAAGCATTACACTAGAGGCATGCAATACATGGCTTAAACAACCAAATCACCTTTGGACAGAGCTCAATCATGCCAAATCAGAAGCCAAAACATGCTGAAATGGCAGCCTAGAAAGCAAGAAGATCATGCTCATGTATTGGTTCATAAACAAGGCATAATGTACAACCCTCAAAAGCAATGAAGAAGTGAAGTATGTGAGAGTGTAACTACATTATATACACTGAAATTACATGCCAAATGGTGTCATACCATGCAAACATCACATACACAACATGTTAAAGGCCTCAAAACTCAAAGCTAGTGAAGCTATTTACACTATAGCTATACAAAGCAAGCCCCAAAAGGCCAAGACCACTCAAAACAGTCCTAAAGCATGTCAAAACAATGCCAAAAACATGCTGGAGTGTAGCCAATACAAGTTAGAATGAAAGGCCAAAACATCAAGTATGTAAAGCTAGTGAGCATGATTGCACTATAAGTACAAAAAACAAGCAAGAGGTGACCCAACCAACCAAAATCAAAGTTAAAGCATGTCAAAATAACACCAAAAACATGCTTGAACTAAGCCAACACTAGCCACAAAAACATGTTACTTTGCAAGGCTAACTAGGCATAGCATAGAGAGACAAGGAGGGGAGGCCACCCCCTCCTATTTGGGACCTTAAAACAAGTTTCTACCACTGAAATTCCTTTGGGCCATCAACACATGCAAGCAAGACAAGAAGAGAGGGGACCACCCCCTCCTATTTGGGACCTCAAAACCACATTTCCACCACTGAAATTCCTCTAGAATTCAGTGGTTAAAAGGCTAAAAAGAGATAGTTTGAATAGCCTCAAAAGGTGGTACAAAAGCTTAGCAAATAAGCAACGAAAGAGGGTAGACCACCCCTAACCCCAACAAGGACTCAAACCAAAATTTTTAACCCTTAAAAATAGAGGTTTTTTTTTTTTTTTGGAAGGTAAGCCTAAAGCATCATGCAAAGATGGCCAAACACTTGATCAAAACAAAGCTTAAAGTGGGAAGACACTTACCCTTGTAGCACAGCAACAAAACAGCAATCTCTAAGCCAAAAATCAACCTTCAACAACCCAAATGAGACCCTCAAATACCTCAGCAACAAGGTAATGGTGTTTGGCTAAGAGGTTGTGTGCAAAGGTGCAAAGAACACCCACTTTCAAGCAATATAGCACAATATATATATATATATAGAGAAAGAGAGAGAGAGAGAGAGAGAATTCTAGAGAGAGAGGGAAAATTTAGCTCCAAATTTTTTGAACCCTCAAATAGCGGCAGGGAGCTCCCCTTATATAGGAAATGCAAGCAAAAAGCTTGCTTCATCCCTCTATACACGTGTATGGAGGATGAGCTCAGCATTCAATAGCTGGAACAACTAGCACCAAAAATATCTGCAAAAGGAGAAAAAAGGGCCTCGGCCAAAGTTAGTGGCTGACCGGCCATCAGTGTAGCCGACCGGCCACCACTGATGGCCGATAGACACCCGATGGGTTGTAGGGCTGGCGGCAGACCACGCCTCTTTCCCTAAGAAACAAATATGCAAGTCTTTGGTGCACAACCAAGCAGAAAACAGATAAGTCGAGAAGTCCGAAGGCAAGACACTCCGCCAAGAACTTCAGGCGCTCTAAACGAACACGAGCATGGATGATCATCAAATGTTCAAACAATAACGTCCAAGTCTTGGGGACGGTCAAAAATGGGGTGTCTATACCCTCCACTCGCCATTTTTCTTGACTACCACTATATTGGACAACCATGTCAGATAGTTTACTTCTCGGATTGCTTAGGCCTCCAACAGCTTCTCCACTTCTTCTTGAAAGGCTTGCACATGGGCCAAAGTGGGTTGCCTGGCCCTTTAGACCACTGGTTTTGTCATCTTGTCAATGTTGACTTTGTGGCAGGTGACCTCGAGGCTGATCCCCGGCATCTCGTAGGGTGTCCATGCAAGCACCTCTATTTTTTCTAGTAAGAAAGCTTCCAATTTTCTTTCTTCTTCCTCGGCCAAACCTGAGCTGAAGAGGAAGAATTGCTCTTCATCCTTTTCTTGTACCAGAACCTTTTTTAGGGGTTCCTGGCTCTTGTCAACGGGTTCTTTGCCAACATCATCTAAGACCTCTTGGTCTTCATCTTCTATTTCAATCATCTCTATTTCTCTAACAATGCAGGTGAATTTCATTACTGCCTTGGAGTAGTTCTTTGCCCGTACTTGGTCTACCCTCACCTCTTCAACCCCGAACTCTATTGGGAACCGGAGTAATTGGTGCATTGTTGATGGAACAGCCCTCATAGCGTGCAGCCAAGGCCTTCACAAAATAATATTGTAAAGGGAGGGAGCATCTATCACAGTAAACTCTATGACTACCATCTTGGTTCTTGCCTAAACCTCCAGGTTCGTGGCCCCTAGTGGCCATGTAGGGGTTCTATTAAATCCGACAATGTGGTTGTCGGATTGTTCCAAATCGTCCTTGTGGAGGCCGAACTCTTTGTAGCATCTGACGTACATGATGTCACAGGAGTTTCCTTGATTTATCAGTATGCGCCTTACCTGGGATTCTTTAACCTTCAGAGTCACTACTAGAGCATCATTGTGTGGACGTTGTACCATATCTAGGTCTTCCTCTGTGAATGATGTCATCGGCCCCTGATGTTCTTCTATACGGGACTTCTTCTACTGGACTTAGTAGACATGCTCTCGATGCCTTACCCTCTATGTCTCCCCTCGGATCTCATTCTCGTTAACTCTTGTATGGATCACGTTAATAACCCGTGGTCCATCTGCTTATGGTGGCCAAGGTCGAGGTGCTTCCCCAAGTGCCTGGGCCAACTTTACAGGTTATTCTCGTGTTCTTGCTTTGTCTATCAGGTCTCTCAGGTGTACCTATCTGACCAGATCTTCCATGTATTATTTTAGGGCCATTCACCCTTGAGTCATGTGTCCATTCTCGTCGTGGTAAGGGCAACTTTTCCCGACGTTCCTACCCATATACTCTCTCGAAATCTTCTGTGGCGGCCTGAAGTAGGGCTGATTTCAAATCCTTTCTAAGACCTTGTGTACGAGAATCTTGAAATCTGTGCTTATTGCTTGTATAGCCTTCAATCCAGGTTCCGACTTATTGGTACTGTTATTTCCTCGGCTATGCTTTGGTGAAACATTCTTCTTCTCCTGCTTTATTACACCGGTCTTTCTTGCTTTCCTGTCCTCTTCCGCCCTTGCGTACTTCTCAACCTTTTCCATGAGATCCTCCAAGTTCTTCAGGAGGGTTTTTGCAAGGGATTGCCAAAGCGAGCAATCGTTTTCCATGCCGTTTTTAAAAGAAACGACCACAAGTTCCTGGTTACAAACCGGGATCTGATTGTAAACCTCGTAGTACCTCTTGGCATAAGCCCTAAGACCTTTGCCATCATTTATCTTCAAAGCTAGTAGAGAATCCACCCTTAATAGCTGGAACCTAGTTGTAACGAACCTAGCCACGAACATCTCGGCCAAGCCTTCCCAACTCTTCATATACCCCTTCAGTAACTCGTGCAACTAGTCTAACGCTATTTCCCAAAACATTAATGGGAACATCTTGCATAGAAATTGTTTGTTCCCTCTCCACAGAGCCATTGTATTTAAATATAAACCGATATGGAAGGTTAGGTCTGACTTGCTATTGTAAATTTGTAACCTCAGTGTGCTAAATCTCTTCGGTGCCTCGAACACGTCCAACTCTATAGCGTTTCTGGTTTAGACCAGACCCATTTGATGTTTTGGATCCAGGTTTCATTGTGCTATGTAGTTGTTCATGTCTTGTTTCCCCTTATCCCTCTTTGAGTTTGGCTTTTGGGATGTGTTGATTACGTTTGGAACAGGTTGGTAACTTGTTTTTCAAACTTTTGTTGCCCAGAATTTTGTTCCTTCACTTGAGCGTCACTTCTTGCGCTCAAGCGGTCTTTGTGAACTCTCAGTACTTTTGCAGGTCTGCAAAACTACTAGGAAGTAGTATTCTACGCTCGATTAATGCTTCTTGCACTTGAGCGGTATCAACTCGAGCGGCCAATATTGAGCTCGAGCGATGGTTTTCTATCTGTAAAACTTCTGAGAGTTTATATTCTGCGCTCGAGCGAAGCTTCTTGCACTCGAGCGGTCACATCTTTTGTGTTTGGACGCTCGAGCGACACGTCTTGTGATTGAGCGGTCTGCACATATATCAGTCCGTAAAAGTCATTTTTTACATCACTTTTTCATCTCTCTCTCTCTAAACATTTCAAAATCATAAGTTAAGACTCCCTATCTCTAAAACTCATCTTCTCTCTACAAATACACCTAGATCCATCAAGTTCCTCACCCGTGTGCCTTTGTTAAAGATAGAGCTCGGCGAGGGCTTCGTTCTAATTGGAGCAAACTTGGTTTTTGGTATATTTGAGTTTCCTACACTCCTTCTCTCATCTTCTAAAACATGATGTAGGGATTCTTCGCATCTTCTATGAATTTTAACTTAGTTATTTGCGATTTCTAAACAACATTGTGATTTTGGAGATTTTTTAACAAACCTAGGGTTTTGGATGAAAATCAAAAGAGGGGTTTTTTTCAAATGGATCCTTGAAAACGACTATGATGTTGGTAAAAATGTTGAGTTGGTAAGAAATGGTTGATTTTGATACTTGGGGTTGATTTTGGAGAAAAATGAAATTTTGCTCTAAATGCCACACATATTGATTTTGTATAAATAATGAAATTGATGTTGAAATTGTGAAATTGGATTGATATTGATGAGGATGGTGGAGTTGGATATGTATTATCACTCACCTCTTGAAATTTGGAAAGTTTATCTTTATTAAGAATTGTATATCTGTTTAGAAATATCTGTTTTGGGCTATTGGTGGAGGATAACTATGGTTGTTGTAGAAATTGCGTGAGAAATAGGGGAATTGAAACTATTTTTCTCATTCATTTGCATCAGTCATCATTTCACATTTATACATTGCATATGTATATTGTTTTGAGAAAATGGATGAATTTGGAAAGAAGTTGTTGTCGCATCAAATAAGTTGCTCTGTGTGCCCAAGGTGAAAGTCTCGAAAATCACGCGTATAAATAGATGCTGATCCCGCGGATGAAATTTTTGTGAAATGGCAATAGTAGTGCTTGTATAGCCTACATTTACATGGGTCCTGGTTTACGGTTTCCTCCAGACGAGATTTCTGGGAAAGACTGTATTGTTTTGAAATTCTCATAACGTGATTCACTTCCCTATCTTTTATTCCAAAGCAAGTGATTTATGATATTATTATGGCATGGCATGGCATAGTTTTGGAAAGAGAAATAAAAATATTTTGGCACAAGCATTGCATATGCATCCACCTTATAGCTTTGTTAAGATTCATGTACTGTGTTGGATTATTTCTACTAGGCTTTGGCTCACCCCATGTGGGAAAAACATTTCAAGTGTTGATAATATGCCTCCGCCAAGGCTATAGCTTGAGAGGACTTGGAGTGAGAGCTTCTTTTGTGTATTTGCTATATTTATTTTTGTACAAGCCAAGGACTTAAACTGTATTGGACTTATGTCCACTTTTGTTATAACCAAGCATTGTCTTGGAAAGATGTAAGCCTTTAGGGCATTTTTTATTTGTCTAACTTTCATCTTGACTCTCTACTATGTCAATCTTTGTAAAGCCTAATTGTAAATCAATGAAAGATAACTACTTTGTCATGGTGATCACTATTTGATGTTGAGTATGGGTTAGAGTATTTATTTCAGGGCGTTACAAACACCACTGAGAATGTGACTTTACCTGGGCATTGGACATGTTCTTGGCGTCCTGCCTCTTCCTTTGCAGGTAGTCTCGTATGTCTTCTTTTGTCTATCCTAGGGCTTGGCTATCAGTCAACTTTAGCTTTTTTGGCACGCTGCTTCCCATGTTGGGATGGGTCCTCTTGGACTTTTCTACATCATCAAAGCAGAGGCCCTGCTTGTTGACCTACTGAGATCCCCTAATCTAGGCTCCCTTGGTCCTCGGGGTTCTTTGCGACTCCTCCCGTCAAGATTTTGTTCATCCGGCTTTCTAAGATCGCGGATGTGAATTCCCTAATATTTTCTCGTGCTAGGGGACTGTTGGTATTGTAGCCAACCCTTCCTTCTAAGCGTTGGTGTTTTCTACTGGAGCCGGTGTCTCTAGTAAAGGCAATGACAGTTGTATCACATTGCTCTGCATCATAAAATTTACCACGGTTTGCAAATCCGTCAATTTGTTCACTGAGTCCTTCAGCTCGTCGTCTCTCCTCAAACATCTTTTTTTCCATACCTCACATTCGCTTTCATTGTAGTATTTTTCCTAATTTCCTCTTTTCGGGCCATTACACCCCCTTGCGATGTTGTTGACCTCAGGGTTCACTTCATGCACCTCCTCATCATCGTTTCCCATCCCAGCGTTGGGACCTACGTACTCCTCTTCCTCACTATGCATTTCTTCCCCAATCCTCACCTCTTGTCCAGCGTTAGTCATCTATTCTACTAAGTTCCTATAGACAGCGCCAAATTGTGGGTGTTGATTTCTGACCTCACAACCAAACAGGGAACTTAGCTAGAGAGAACACGGCAAAATAGATTAAACCATGTACCTATCAATGAGAAGACAAGAATTCCTCGGTGACACGTCCACCCAGGGACACTCCGACGATCAAGTTAGTCAATCTTATCTCTCACAGATATGAAACAAGTATTCAGTGCACAAGTATGAGCATACCTTAGACCTATAAGGGTGCCTCACTTTTATAGCTAGTAGTGCCCTTGTTCCCTAGAAGTCTCGCTTCATAGGACTTAAGGACAATGCTTGTCTCAGGCTCTTAATTAGGTACGGATGAACTCCACAAGAGCCTCATCCTTATCTGAACTAAGCGCCTCACTCATCTAGGACTCTTGTCCTCTATCGAAATATCTAGGATTCCGATATTACTACACCATATCTCGACAATATCATAATCACCTCGGCAATCTAGCTCGTTCACATGGCACCTCAACCCATATCTCGGCCATGTGGCATGACCCTAAAAATACATCCCTACAAATGGCTTACCCAATCTTTTTGCTCATAAAATCAGAGATGTCCTACTCAACCTACGGGAATAATTGAATATGATAATTTAACATATGGTGATATGATTAGTACAATTCAAAAAGAATGATTAAAAATGTGTATAGATATGAAACTTTGTCAAAAAGCTGCTAAAGATAAATACAAAGCTAAGTATGAGTTAGGCAACTTTTGCGAACAATACGGTCTACCTCTTGTAGCACCATTGCGTCGAAAAAATCATAAAAACAAGAAGTCCAAATCTCCATATAAATATAATAATAAGAAATTTTCACCTACTAAATCACTTATTAAATATTATGATAAACCCCAAAGGAAATCTTATAAGAGAAATAAGAACTTTAATAAAAAGTTAAAATCAACTCAAGATATTACCTGCTATAATTGTAGTAAAAGGGTCATTGTTCTAATAAATGTAAGTTAAAGAAAATCTTAATCAATTACCGATTATTGAAGAAAATCAAGGTAAAATATTTAAAATATTCAAGTTAGTTAATACTCAGGATCAATCTAGAAACCCATCTAGTGATAGTAACCCATCTAGTGATACCTCTACCTCTGACTATTATTCTCCTAATAATGATATTGATAAAGATCAGATAGAATTAGGATGTAATGACACATGTTGTAAACAAATTAATGTCCTTAGTAAATCACAACAAGAAGAAGATTCATTAATTGAATTAATTAGTAAATTAGACAATCCTGAATTAAAAAGAAAGTATACTAATAAATTAAAATGTTTATTAATTAACAAAGAAAGTAAACGTTCTAGAAGTAAACCAATTATTAGTCCAATGACTACTTTAGAAAGATTTAGAAAAGATAAACATAAAGAAGTAACTCTACAAGGTTTATAAAATGAAATTAATCAAATTAAATTAACTATTAAAGAATTTAAAAATAAAGATAAATCTTTAAAAGACGAAATTGCTATATTAAAAATCAATAAAAGTCTTAATGATTTTAAAAGTAAAACTGATACATCCTCCGATGAATCTAGTAATACTCCAAGTCATGTAATTTTTTATAATCATTCCAATAAATCTAATAGTGAAGAAAATAACCAATCAAACACAATTAATAAAATAAATATCCAGAAATGGCATTCAAAAGTAAAACTAGTAATTAATGATTATGAAATGGAAGGCTTAATCCCTATTAAATACTATCATAAAACAAGTGAACAATTAAGCTCAGGTAATGGCAGTCAAATATATATTAAATATAAATTACCTAAAGTTCGCATTTGTCAAAACAATGTTTGTTTTAAAACATCTTTTGCTCTAGTACAAAATATGACTAATAAAGTCATTTTAGGTGTCCCATTTATTTATTTATTATACCCATTCACTACTAATAATCATGGTATTATAGCCCAAGCCTTTGGTCAAACAGTAACTTTCAAATTATTAGCTCCTCCTAAAA